GCACTCACTGGCTGAGCACGGTGCGCCCGGTCTCAAAAAGGACAAAAAAAAAGGGCCGGCCCGGTGGTGCACTCGGTAGAGTGCGGTACTTGGGAGCGTGGCGGCGCTCTCGCTGAGGGTTCGGATCCCATATAGAGACCGGTCCGCTCACTGGTTGAGCACGGTGCGGGCGCAACACCGAGGGTTGCGATCCCGTTGCCGGTCACGAAAAAAGACAAAAAGGAAAAAAAAAAAAAGAAAGCTGGTAGCAGTCCAGGCTACTGGACTAAACAAGAACTTAAGATTGCAAGAAGGCCCAAGCTGCAGCAGGATGACAGTGACCGATGCAGTCCATCTAGTTAACCATAAATTTACTGGTATCTTCTTCCTTAATTCTTTTTTTTTTCTTTTTCTTTTTTTTTAATCTTCCTTAATTCTTACAACAACATTAGGGGTTCAGGTTATCATCGCATCTTCCAGATGAGAAAACAGGAATCAGAGAGCTTGCCCAAGGTCATACACCTCTGAGTGACAGAACCAGGATCTGAACCTAGATCTGCCAGACCCCCAAAACTCAGCCACTAAAGGAGAAAGGAGCAGAGAGAGACTAGGGCCCCCAGGAGGAAGGTGACAGCAGATAGTCTCTGAGGGTAGGGCTGTGGCTTCTTTGATCTCAGCCCCCCCCACCCCCCGCCCAGGCCCCGCCCCTGCCCCTCCCAGCACTGCCTGGAAGTGTGGGGTGAGAGCTCCTCCTAAGACACCCCTTCCCCTTGGGGAAAGAATCGTGACCCCCCCAGGCCCTACCCAGCAGAGGACCCTCTCCTCCTCCCTCGTCATCACCCCTCCTGGGGCAGGGAGTACCTCCCCCTGCATCCCCACCTGCCTGGCCTCTGCAGCGGTCAAGCTGAAATGACGGTCAAGCTGGATTTCGAGGAGTGTCTCAAGGATTCACCCCGTTTCCGGTAAGTGTGTGCAGGTCTGGGGGCCTGAGGCGGGGAAGGTCCAACACCCCCAATATCACACACACAAACGCACACGTACACACACACACAACTTTCCCCGGGCTAGATCTCCTTCCAGGGAGTAGGCCTTGAAGGGACTAGAGTGAGCTTGTGGGCCCAAGTGTCACCTCTGCTGTCAACCCAGGGTACTCCGATGCTCTCCACCCCCTGCATGCACCTCCTGGCCTCTCCAGTCTCTCTGTCATGCCTAAGGGCTGGCATTCCCTCCACTGAGACCCCTTCCCCTCCCCCAGCACCTTCTCTGGGGTGGTTAGCAACTTCCTGCCCTCACCACATCCACCTTCCTTCTACCCTTCCTGCTCTGGCCTGGGCTGTAGTAGCTCACAGATTGTGCAGAGTGAGCAAGCAAGACAGGGCAGGTGGGCAGACCTTCTCAACCCAGCTGCTTTCTCTGTCTGTTGTACCCACCACCCCACGACCCCAACCCTGACCCTGCTGAAGCAGACAGACCCAATGGACCCAAGCTCTGTTTGCGTGACCCCGTCCCTCCTTTCCCAGAGCCTCTATTGAGCTGGTGGAAGCCGAAGTGTCAGAATTGGAGACCCGTCTGGAAAAGGTGACCCTGACGTGGAGAGGTGACCCAGGGGCAGATTAGGATGAAGGGTACAGGGCCAGGGAGAAAGGTGGAGACAGAGAATGAGTTCCAGGAATGATTGAATGCTAACAGTGTAGGGTTGATATCTGGGGAACTATGAGAAGCAAAAAAGGTGGTCTGTGCTCTCAAGGAGCTCAGAATCTTGGAAAACAAGACTCACGTGTGGATTTACTCGTTCAGATCTTGAGCCCCCCTGCATTGTACTAGGCCCTGGGCATTCAAGGAGAACAAGACTATTTCTGGCCCCATGGGGCCCACAGACTAACTGTGGAAGACAAACCAGTGAAACATTTCAACATAAGACAGTAAGGCCCTTCCTGGCCACTCTTTATAAAATAGCACATGCATGCACGTGTGTGCGTGCGCGCGCGCGCACACGCGCGCACACACACACACACACACACACTCTCCCATACCCCTTACTCTGCTTTATTTTTCTCTATAGGATGTACCTCTGTCTAACACGTTATATATATTTACCTGCTGTATGAGTACTAGTTTTCTATTGCTGTGTAACAAGTTATCACAAATTTAGCAGCTTAAAACAGTACACATTTGTTAATCATAATTTCTGTGAGTCAGGAGTCTGGGCATGGCTCAGCTGCTCCTCTGTTCAGGGTCTTCTAGTCTGCAAAGTCTTGACTAAAGTTGCAGTCTCATCTGAGGCTCAGGGTTTTCTTTCAAGCACACGAGATTGTTGGCAAAATTCAGTTTTTTTCAAAATTCAAAATGCTGTTGTGGAACTGAGGCCCTTATCTCCTAGAGGCCACCCACAGTTCCCTGCCACGCAGCCCTCTCCATAAGCACTTCACATCATAGAAGCTTGCTTCTTCTGCCATGTCTCTTTACCTTCTTCAAGATCAGCAGGAAACTCTTGTACATGCTAGCAAGACAAAGCCAACATACAAACGCTCCTCGACTTAACAAATGGGGTCGTATCTCAATAAACCCATCTTAAGCTGAAAATATCCTTAACTTGAAAATGCATTTCTGGGCCGGCCCAGTGGCGCACTGCTACAGTGCGCCGCTTGGGAGCGCGGCGGCGC